AGAATAATTTGTTACTAACATCAATATAATAACCGTTTGGGTTTTAATCAGATGTCGTTTCTTAGTTAATATAATAATACATGAAAATTTTTCACCGACTGGCGACTATCAAGTTTACTATCGAGGGAATGAGATGTTCCAAGTTCCAAGACGTGCTTCCTGTTCCTTCTTTCCTACTTCCTTCTTCCTAACTCCTAAGCGTTTCATCATATTACGTTATTCAAATAATTTCTTTTTCGTTTCTCTATAATATATTCATTGTATTCCGATTTCATTAATATTACGCATAATACGTTCGATTCATACACGAAGCCATGTACGCCGTAAAAACACCCAGCAAATACATGACAGCGAAAACTAGAAGAGGTACATTCATTTTATTATTTAAAATACCCAGAAGATTACCTATTTTGACCCAAAACTCTATGAATAATTGTTGTTAACATTTTTATCCAGGCATCCGCCACAGTTTTGATCGATTAGATTCTTTTCGAGAAAACTTCAAAAAAGTCAATGGGACAGAAGAAGAAGAACTACCATCGTACGTATTTATTCAAATATTTTAAACCAAAATGCCAGTTAAATGTGTTGATTGTTGGTTATGTCTTAAAGTCCTGAACCAAAGCCGGTATTTCATTCAAATGGCCATCGTAAGGCTTTAAACAAGTGCCCTCCATCACCCCAAGATGTCTTAAGTCCCCAACATGAGAAACTAATCCATTACATCAATGACTGTAAGTATAACAAGTATTTATTCTAAGTTATCAAACTATCTATGTTTTAACACGTTGACTGCCATGTGGCTGCTGGTGGTAATTTATTTTGTTATTTTCAAAATTTATACTTTTGCGACTGCCGCCAACCACAGTTGATCAAAACTACCACACCATATGACTGCTGACAGCCATAACTAAATATGTTTTTATATTATCAAATTATCCATGGTGCTACAATTATGCACTAAAAAAAACGTCATGGAATAGCGGTAATCATTACAATTTTTTTGATGTAATACATATATAATATTTACAATTTTTTTTTATATTTTTAAACTTTTTTTTAAATACATAGCATAATTATAGTTAAAGTTTGGATTTGAAGGCAATATAATCAATAAAAAAAATAATTTAAAATGTAAAATTAGGCAAAAAAATTATTTAATTAATATAAAAATCAATTCAAAAATATGCTACAAAAATAAATACACTAACTATTTGGTATTAAAAAAAATCACTATATGTTCTTTGATAAACTGTCATTAGTGACAGTTTGGCCTCAAAATATTTTTATACATCAAAAACGAGTACTTTTATGGCAATATCAAATACTTGATGACGAGATGCAATCCATCATAACATAGAAACATAACATTGACAATGCACTGTCTTCACTCTTCACAAGCTCTTATAAATTTGTAACGATATACGTAAGCTGTGTATAAAATTATTAAATCAACTGAAATTTAAACATAAAAAAASCATATATACCCAAAAAAGGCAAAAAAATAAATATACCCATTGTCTTAGAATTAAATAAAATATATTTTTGTGTTATGATTATTAAAAGAAAGGCTTTTGCCTTCAAATCCAAACTCTAATTATAATATACAAAATTTGAAATGACTCTGAAAAATATACTTGGCACATACGATGATAGAATATTGTGTAACAACCGGCAGGCGGCAGCCACATGGCAGTCAACAATATATTATATTTGATTTAAAATGTTAAATCTCTATTTTATATAGATGTATCACTTTTTGAGTAATCCACTTGCTACTTATAGTATTTATTTCTACAAATATTAAATTCATCATTAATACGACTGTTGGGTACTTTAAACCAACAAATCCCAATCTTTTTTCCACAGTGCTCTGATGTGAATACCAATAAATACAGGCAATAATAGTTTTGATATAATATATTTTAAAATCCAGTGCATTAACTTATGAAAAATCTTGTATGTACATTTTCAAGCTATAAGTATTTAAATAAAATATTTTTATATTTTTAAAATGAAAACAAATTTAACAAATTATAAAAATTAAATATATTTTGTTTAGATTCTAAAATATTAACTTTTTACATTTATTTATCTGAAAAAGCGTGATTAGTRTTTAGTTTTTGATCCGGTTTTTGAGTTTACAAATATGTTAACAATATCATTTTTGAAGTTAAAGGTATTTATGGAATCAATATAAATTATAAGATAAGAAATTCAAACTTATATTAATAATCCATATTGCATAATTAGATTGATTGGTATTCAAAACATTGGAATGAAAATAGGTGTTTTTGTATGGAAAATCATCAATAAAATGTCCTACTTTTGAGTACTGGGAGTCAAATGTCCTAATCTTTGTAAGGGTGGGGGGGGCATTAACTAAATGATACTTAATACATTAAATAATTGTTTTTTGTACATTATTAATTCTTTCATAATAAAATGTGTATTCTTCAGTACCCATTGGCCATTGACTATGTATATAATTTGTGTGTTCAAATTATAAACAATTTGAAAAGACATTGCTTACCACATATACTTGTAGTGTCAGGGATACTATTTTTTTTTATTGATTCCAAACAGATCAGTGAGAAAACATMTTTTAGTTGTTCAAAGCAAAACTTATCAATATGAATATAAAATTTTTGAGTTTAATACAGGTATGAAATATTGAATAAAATGTATAGTGTGGTACTAATAGCTCTAAATCATAATATTCAAAATATAAAGAGGTAGATCAATATATTTTATTAGAAAAAAATCAAATAATTTAATACTTTCACTTAATATTATTTGTATTGTGCTTTATTCACTACTTTAACCTCAGAATTATGAATTTCAGCTTGGCACTCGGTTATAGAAGATGAAGAATCATCTATAAGTATGTTTGTTTTATTTATTGCTTTTGATTAATTTAAATTGGTATTAAGTTATAATATTCTTCTATAATTGTATTAGGTTCACAAAAAATAATTTACTTCCAACCTGAAAACACTGCAGAAGTTCTAAACGGTATATTATAATACTTAAAATTAAAAATGTAATTTTTATTAGATTTGTATTCTTTTTTTTAGGTTTTCAGGCATTTGATTTAGACACATATTGGATCAAGCGTTTATACAATAATATCACTAAGTCAGTGCCATAAGTTTTTGGTATAGTGAATTATTTTTTTAGAAATTATTTTACCACTCGCCCATAACTCACAATATATTGAAGACACATGAACACTTGCGCGAATGATTAGTCATTATTGTGTCAAAAACCGTAGAAATGAATCTATGTCTTTAAACACTGAATGGGACAGGAGGGAAAATATGGCAACTAGTAGTTAAGTAGTATTACCTAGTAGTAGAATTCAATGTTATATAAATATCAATTTTAAAATATTATTGTAAAAGTATTGATTTTAGTGAATTGTTGTTTCCTTATAATGAACTTTTGTTTGTTTATAGTTATTATTATTTTTTATTATTATTATTATTACTATTATTATTATTATTATCACATTATACAAATTTATGTTGTGAGTTATCTGAACAAGACTGAAATTTGTGTAAAAAAATTACTTAATGTGCGATCATTTTATTTTTAATCCTTATTGTTTTGAATATATGAGACCTAAAGCCAATATTTATTGTTTGTTAAAGTTTAATATTACGTTTTTACTGTATGTAAAAATATTATATAATATTTAATTCCCAACGATTTTGAATATTGGCCTTTTGTCTCATTTATGTAAAATTTCTGTWTGAAAAAAAAAATCTTTATTTATCTATTATTTTTAAACATAAAATAATTGAAAGGGAACATGCAAAATAAAAAAATAATTTCAACTATGAATTTTTGCCTGATTAACAATTACTTGCTTGGTAATAAGTAACAACAAACAATTAGTTCCTAGGAATTTGTTTTTGTGTATCAATTCAATTATTTTATAATACTAAGCAAAGACTGATGAGCTTTTACAATACACCTACTTAGTCTTGTGTTATAAACCAAAACTTCGTTTGAATTGGTATACTGATATTAAATTTGTTTATATAAATTGTTATTAGCTACTGTTACTTGTATGACTATGATAGGTGTTAGATAATCAAATTATTTTGTTTAATTGTTGGTAATGAGAATGATTATTGTATTTAGTAAATAGGTACCCAAAGTTGCCACATACTTCTTATAAATGAATGCATGAATTGTTTTATGTACAACTGAAAAATGTTATATATTAGTATGCTTTATTTGAATGAATAAATAGTAATTAAATGTTATTTTTAGTTCTAAATTTTTTTATATAGTCACGACACTAGCATACTCCCRAAAACAACAAAAATTATATTGTTATATTGGTAACCTATTTCAGCTATTTGTTACAATTATAATTGCTACAACGCTTAGTAAATAATAACATACGGTATTTAATGATTAAATAAAATTTTAAGTTTGGAAACAAACCATARTAAATATTACAAATGCCGAAATTTTTATTTTTGAAAATTGTCTATCTTAATCTCTCAAAAGTATCAACTAAGTTCTATTTGTTGTTGATAACCACTCTAAAAGTTGGAAATCAAAGCACCGTTCGCTATACTTTCTTCAGCATGATAATAATATGTTGTGTATCAACAAAAATCAATTCTGTGCATACCCACGCCCCAATGCCATAGTTGAAATGGTATCGATAGCAGCGAGACACAGGGATGTGCAAAAGAACCAATTTTCATTGGTCCACGGTGTGTTCTCTTGTTGGACAATGCATAGCAGAAAGTAACAAGATAGATATCAACCTTGGAAAGTGCTTTAATATTTTAGGGTTATCAATTTTATATTATAAAATAACGAACAAATTSCAAACATTTTTAAAACAAAAGTTTCTAAATCCAATATTATATTATAATGTRAATTACAGAATACCTAGGTACAAATTTTTTTTAATAAAATACATGTTATACTTAACAATAACAAATATTATATTAACCTAATTAAATAATACAATAAATTAAAAGCTCTATTTTAAATTTTGAAATTCTTTCAAAAAGCACAATTCATATAAWAACACTGTAAAAATTAATGAGCAAGCATATCAAGTTTTTACAATAGAAATAGATGTTAATATTTAAGTTATCATTATTGATACATAGGTATTTTATGTACAACAAATAATAGGCTAGAAAATAATATCACTTAAACTATTTTAATTTTAGCTTAGTTTTAGTAAATATTTCACAATTTTTTTTTATCCAAGGATGTTCAATGACATTAGTTAGTGGTAATCTAGACTTGGGAATTTTAACCAAAAGCTTTGAAATTAAATTTCTAGAACTCTCACTCATGTAAGGTTTGAAAACATACATTACAGCACGAATTTTTCTAAATGTCTCTGCTTGTTCTGAGCTCTCAAAAGGTGGTGATCCACATAAGAATTCATAACACAGCACTCCTAAACACCAATTATCAACATATTCGTTATATGTTTGAGAGTCAACCATCTCTGGAGGTAAATAGTCAATAGTGCCACACATGGTGCTTCGACATTTAGATGGAGCATGGACAGACCATCCAAAATCTGCCAATTTTATAACGTGATGACTAAATAATAGGAGATTTTCTGGTTTTATATCTCTATGAATAACACTTTGTGAATGACAATATCTTAAAGCATCAGCTACTTGTCGTAAATAATAGGCAGCTGTTGGTTCATCGAAACGTTTATGTGGCTGTGAGTTCAATACTTTAAATAATTCGCCTTCTTGGGCAAATTCTAAAATTAAATATATTTTTTTTTCATCCCAAAAATAAGTCAGCAATTTTAGAATATTGGGATGAGTAAGATGTGTTTGAATTTCAATTTCTCGTCGCACTTGATGTTCCATGTGATCTTTTACTAATTCTGATTTAAACATCATTTTTAAAGCTACCATATATTCTGTATTTTTCTCCCGAGCAAGATATACACGACCAAATTTGCCACGACCAAGTGGTGTTCCAATTTCAAAATCGCTTAATTTCCACTGATGATTTGAAGGACGTTTAGAATAAATTTCTTTCATTGTTTTTTCTATATGTTGAGCAACCTCATTTTTAGATTCAGTTGTATGTTGTTCTTCAACCACAGCCATTTTAAGAATAAAATTGAAGCTTGACAAAAGTACAAACTGAAACAATAAAAATAATCTATTAGTCCTTGGACTTAATATTATATACAATAACCAAGCAACCATACRGTATTAAATCTAAAAATAAAGATACCTAATTTTGTCATGATATCTACTCAATTTACTCATAAGCGACAAAATAAATTTAAATGACCAATGGTTATTAGCAGAGCTCTGAACTTAGTGTCCTTCAGTTTAAAAAATCTTGTGCCAAAAAAAATAAGACTTGCACTTCAATATAAAACTGTTTTAATCATTCACATTTAAAGAGACTTACATTACAAAATATTTGTATGTTTTACTAATAAGTAGGTAATCACTATAATGCCACAACAGCCAATTTTTTATGTCTTTTCAATGGCTGTATTTTAGAAGTTTCACTGTATTACCTATGTTTTTCATCAAATGGCTATAAGTCATAACCCATTGCTTATTGTATTAATAATAGACATAGTACCTACATACTACAAGTAAAACAAATATATGAACAATATATCAATATGTTATAAGATAGATAAATCGATTTAATGATTTATTTAATATGTTATTTTGTCAAATATTTCTTCTGATTTAAATAATAAAAAAAAAATATATCTACTTAGGTATATGTTATTTATGGATAAATTCAAACCAATATACAGTGAAACATTAGTTAATGGTGATTTGGTTTGGTTCCATTGAATTATATTTTATTTGGACCGTAATACATATGTTCCCTCATAAGTTTCACTATATTTAAAAAAAATATACAAAAAACGTATATTCACAAATACATAATATTCAATCATGAAAGTTGGAAAAACATATCTAATCATAGTTCAAGTACAATATGAGTATAGACTAATGAAAGGTATCTAGTAGGATAACTATGAACTGTCACCAGTCAGGTTTTAAATCAATTACGAATTATAAGTACTGATTGGAATTAAAAAAACGTGGAAATCGAGGACTTTAGAACATTCTATACCCGTACATGAACAACAATATAGGGATTAATACATTAATGYTCTCTCCTCTCTAGACCATGCCTATTACGAACAACCTTCTCAATCTGGTTGTTTTCAGAGTGTCTGCCTCTGTAGAATCTAGTTGAGGTCTATGTTTTCATTATTAAATAATCATAATTTATAGTAGCAAAACTTAACCTGTGTTAATCGTGTGATTATCCGYGTTTCTTTCCAACTAGTCTTCTGAAGTTTTGAACGTTTAARTTAASTAACTTGTGAACTTGACACTATTTACACACTCTACTTAGCACCAGGGACAAGAATGTTTAGTGCTTAGTAATTACTAGTGACTGTCACGTATTGTTCTACTGGAAGTCCGAACTSCGGAGTAATAAGTTGAAAACTTTAAACTACTGACTAACAAGTAATAACTATTAACAAATAACTAATAATAAGTCAAGTAGTGTCACTTTGATGAATGGTGARTTAGTAATTACTGAATTTGTGAGTAGAGTCGTGGAACGGTTAAAAATTGAAAAAGCCGTTCTACAACGATTTGAGTCGGCGGCCAATGAAACGGGATTGTTCGGCTGCTTCGAAATACTGTGTCCCCGTTGGTCCACGACTCTTTAGATTTTTACACTTATCACTCAGGCTGTTTCGCTTATCATTATTTAATATTTAGGCTGTTGAATTTTTGTTATGCAGTTGCACCCGCGGACCCGCCACCCGGCTACTTGTTTTTACTTTTTACACGGTCAACACATTATCAATTATCATTTTTATCGTTCACCGTTCACCATCGTCATAATTTGTGCACTTTTTTTCCGCAATATTGTGAATTGTTATTGTTAATATTGTAAATCGTAATACGCAATGACCAAGATTAACGGTCGACCGATTAGTACATGACAGTGTATGATGTTGAAACCGCCGTCATAATTCTCAGACGCTCCAAAACAGTTCCGCATATGTGATCGGCGCGAGCTGTTTGTTGAAAGTCTCGCCATTACAAAGCTGTATTGTGTATTGTTTTTTAATATCGAGAGTGCAATATTAAATGTCCATAATGAAGGCAACGATATGTATTTTATTKCTTGTGCATTGCGGCACAGGACTCAATAATGGCGATACCAAAGTAGTTCCACTAGATCCCTCCCATCCGTCTGCGGTTGACAACGAAGTCAAGAATTTTCCAAGTACCTCATCTACCCCAGAATTGTCAACGATCGTTGCAAATGAGACGAATTCCAATATGACTGAAAAATCAACAGTTGTCACACCCAGTGAACCAGTATTGCCGAAAAAAGGATCGGCTGAAGAAGAACGCAACAGTTCAATCGCCATTTTCTTTGTGCTTAGCGTACTTGCTCTAGGCATACTGCTCATTCATCTYATGTTGTCCACWCATTTTCAGTATCTACCTGAAAGTGTTGTAATTGTGTTTCTTGGTGCTGTTATTGGTCTCATTATTAATCTCATGTCTGAACAGCATATTGCTAATTGGCGCAATGAGGAAGCATTCTCTCCAACAGCATTTTTTCTCGTACTGTTACCACCAATTATATTTGAATCTGGTTACAATTTACATAAGGGAAACTTTTTTCAAAACATTGGTTCTATTCTAGTGTTTGCTATTATTGGCACCACTATATCAGCTTTAGTTATTGGTGCTGGTATCTATGTCCTTGGCCTAGCCCAGGTAGCGTACAAATTAAGTTTTGTTGAAAGCTTTGCATTTGGATCGTTAATTTCAGCTGTTGACCCTGTAGCCACAGTAGCTATTTTCCATGCGTTGGATGTAGATCCTGTGTTGAATATGTTGGTTTTTGGGGAGAGTATATTGAATGACGCAATTGCCATTGTATTGACTACATCAGTATTACAGTCCAATGGCCCAGCTATGAGTACTTCTGAAGCTGTATTGACAGGCATCAAGCAGTTCTGTTTGATGTTTTTTGCTTCAGCTGGTATTGGAGTAATATTTGCCTTAATCAGTGCATTGTTATTAAAATATGTAGACTTGAGAAAAACGCCCTCATTAGAATTTGCTATGATGTTGGTATTCACTTATGCACCATATGTCTTGGCTGAAGGCATTCATTTATCAGGTAAATTATTACCAAATATTTCATATTCACTTATTTTTACTTTTTATATTTTATCTCTTCATTTTAACTATCATTTTTTTTTCTTAGGAATAATGGCTATCCTGTTYAATGGAATTGTCATGTCACATTACACTCATTTCAATTTATCAACAGTTACACAAATTACAATGCAACAGACAATGAGAACATTGGCATTTATTGCAGAAACTTGTGTATTTGCTTATCTTGGGCTAGCATTATTCAGTTTCAGATTACACTTTGAACCAGCTTTAGTAATTTGGAGTTTAATTCTGTGTTTGATTGGGCGGGCTTGCAATATATTCCCATTGGCTTATTTGTGCAACAAATTCAGAGAACATCAAATTACAAAACATATGATGTTTATTATGTGGTTTAGCGGTAAGTTTCATATCAATATTGAGTATCATCTTTCATATAATGTTTAAATTTATTAAAATAGGTAATGTAAATTATTTGAGACATGAATATYCCTTGATAATGAAGGTACCTAACTCAAATAATTATTATAAATTGAATGCATAATAAAAAGTGTTAATGTTAGATAACCTTAGATAATAATAATCACTAATAATTAATAAGATATGCAGAAAACCTCTTGAAAAGCTGTGCTTTTGTTTATCAATCATCAGTATATTTTCAAATGTGTTACTTTCACCCCTTCATTATTTTGCCTCTGTCAGAAATGTTTAAAATATTAAAATGTCAGCACACGATTGGTAACAAATTTAGTTAAAAAACTGAAGGGAAAGGCTAGAAGCTTAAAAATATCAATTAACATTTATCATTAAAACTTATTACTAGGGCTCGAATTTATATGTATTTATAATATAACCAAAGTATATATTTATTCAACAAAAATGTCATAATATGTATTATATAAAAAAAAAATAATAGTAACTAATAATACGAAATATAATAAAAAAATATTTATCCAACTATCAAATTATCTTGAATAACGGGTTGAATAACGAACAATGAACACAGAAATGGCCCGTTCGTTAACTTAGATATACTGACTCACTGTCTGTAGTTCAAACTCAAACACTTATTAATAAATCGTTATCTATCGTTTATTGAGGTCATAAATATCAAACATATATCGACCGTAGATTAAGTTTAATAATTGGTATTATTTTGTTACTGTTTTAAACTTTTGGAAACATAGGAAATTTGAAAAAAAAAATTTAAAAATTCAATTGTTAACAATATTAATATATTAATAATCATTAATAAATAATAAAATATTGTATATGAACAAATTGTCAAAATATGTAGGAAAAAATGGAATTATTGAAAAATATGTAAAAACGTGTACTTATGGCAAGATGTGTAAAATAAAATGAGTTAATTTCATTGAAAATACCTTGAAACAAATTTATTACTTGTCTAAATTAATTTATCAAGTCACAGTAAAAATATGTATTTACATTTAAATCCAACTCCTACTTATTAAATATACTAAAGTCACTCGTTAAATATGAAATCACTCAAGTAAAGAAATATTTTGGGAGACTAAGGCCCGTTTCACATGGACGCGTATCAAACGTGACGTATCGTACGCTCACGTTTTTATTTTACATTGATTAAGTTCATATGCGTCATACTGGCAAGGGAAACGCGTCATCGTCGGAGTGGCGCGTATGCATTTAACCCGGCGTTAATCGCGCTATGGTCAAAATGACCGCAYTTTTTTTCCATGCTTAATAAAACATTTATATTTTATATTTCAACCATTGATACTCAGTATACCTTTCAATAATGTTATTAAAAATAATATAATAATATTCTAAGTACATTTAATTCCGTATATATAAATTAAACTAAGATAAAAGTGAGATATCATAAATTGCGGTCATTTCAACCAAATCGCGACTAATGATGTTATTATCTTTATTATTACAACTAACATTGCCGGTTAGGTTATTATTACGGCTAACATTGCAATAACAATTTATAATTGATGCTTTAGACGAGGAAATATTATCAGATGATGATTTTAGTAACAGTGACTTAGATTCTGATATTGTCGTGAAATTTAAATAAAATTTGTACATTAATTTTTTWAAATTAGGTACCCAATTTCTGTATAAGGAAGTAGGTAACTTTCAGTTTCGATTTTTTTTTTTTTATAAATAAAACCATAAGTTATTAAAGTTATATGAAAATTGATTTGTTTCAATAAAATTACAAAACATATTTATACCTATGAAACAACGTTTTTTTTATAATTATTTACTTGAAAATTATAACGCGGTCAAAAAGACTGCAGTGCGACTAACTACGTAATATACACTAGTGCGACTAACGCCGGGTTAACTAATGTAACTGAACACTAGGGCGTCCATGTGAAACGAGCCTAAGGCTTCCCAATTTAATCCTTTGATTTGTTCTATTTATTAAGTAATTAAATTCTACACTATTTAAGTATTCCATATGGTATTGTATTGRCTACAATATTTATTTATTTTTTTGGCTTTGAAAGAGTGTAATATTTTTACAATAATTGCTTAGAGTTAAATCTTAGCTAAGTTTCCTCTACTTCGCAAAATTATCAAATAACAATTGTACACATAATTCTTAGAAATTACACTTTAATAATTACATATGATATAAAATATATAAACATAAAAATATTTAAAAATTTAAATTTCTTTCTATTAACCTATTCATATTCTCATTTATTTGGAATATTTAGTATTAAAATTATTTATTTGGTTGCAAAATTGATTGTTAAAGTAATAAATAAAAATATATGAAATAATAMTCATAAAAAAAACTGTTACATTTTTATTAATTGATTAAGTTAAAAATAAATTCTTTTGAGGGAAATGACTTATGATAATTTTTATTTTAAATAATTATTTGTTTTAGGTTTAAGAGGAGCTATTTCATATGCATTGTCATTACATTTAGAATTCAGTAATGAAACAAGACATGTGATAATCACAACTACATTGTGCATAATATTAGTCACAACTTTGTTGTTTGGTGGTTCAACAATGCCACTAATGAAGGTAATTTTTCTTGACTTAAAAAAAAAATCAATACTTAAATTTTTTTCTCCAGATTTTGCAATCATCAAAAGCTGGGAGAAGCACTCGCCGTCGAAGAAAAGACAAAGCCATATCTCTAAGTAAAACTAAAGAATGGGTAATTTCAATAAATTCTAACTAGTTATTTTTAATTACCTAATATGTGTTAGTAATTATTTGTACACATTTATGTTAGGGACAAGCAATTGACTCTGAACATTTATCAGAACTGACTGAAGAAGAATTGGAAGTTAATTTTATTCAATCACGAATCAGTGGATTTGCCAAAATGGACATAAAATACTTCATACCATTCTTCACTAGACGTTTTACACAAGAAGTAAATTAAAAAATAAATTTATTTATGAAGTTTTTTTTATTATATGAAAAATTTTATATTATTTTAATTAAATTAATTAATCTAT